CTCAGGGCTTGATATGCAGGACGGTCATTTACTAAGAAATGGCCTTCTACCAACTCTGCAACTCCTAATAAACTGTTTCTTGTCCCTTCTTAACAGAGACAGAGTTCTACGGCACATGAGAACGGTGCACTTCACGATCCCCTGTCAGATGAGCCGCGTGACAAGCATCTACGGCTTCCAGTGTCTCCTGTGAGATGAAATTCTGTATTGCTCTCAGGCGTACACCAATCGTCTCTTGAACTGCATTAAGCGTTTCGCGCTTGAAGGTAACTCACAGAAGAACAGGGTCCGTCAGACCGTCGAGTATTGTGAAACGAGCAGAGGTTGCCTCAGCAAACCCGCGGGCACACTCCCCCTCCCTCAGGCTGTCCAAATGAAACACCCTAGGGTGATCATTGGACTGCTGGGGAGTTTTGAAGTGGACCTGGATGGTATCTACCACCAATCTATGGTCAGTACCACAGAACTCAGCACTCCTATACACCCTGCAGTTCTGGAGGATCGTCCAACGAGTGTGTGGTCGATCTCCTTGGCTGCATTACCCGCATCGCTGTATCTTGTCCAACGATGTGGGTCTGGGCACTGGTATCACGAGCCAGAAATCGTCAATTTCTGAGACCTAGCAAAGTCCAAAAGGAGGCTCATTACTGGTATCAGCTCCTGAACCATGGGGACGACAGACATCTCATAGCCATATATATATATATATATATATATATATATATATATATATATATATATATAATATATAATAATATATATATATATATATGTGTATATATATATATGTATATATATATATATATATATATAATATATATATATATATATATATATATATATATATATACATATATATATATATATACATGTGTGTGTATGTGTGCGCGCGTGTGCATGTATATACACACACATACACATTTACAAATAAACATGGATACATATGTGTATATATCTGTATATCTGTGTGTGTGTGTGTGTGTGTGTGTGTGTGTGTGTGTGTGTGTGTGTGTGTGTGTGTGTGTGTGTGTGTGTGTGTGTGTGTGTGTGTGTGTGTGCGCGTACATACACACATAAACACACACACCGCAGAGTCGTGCGATTCATCTGCTCTGCATGTAGATATTCGTACCAAACCGCGTATAAATCAAGCGTGGGGCGCTATCTTGCCCCGACCGCCCCACTTCCAGCGGTAGTTAGCGACAAAGTTCCTCCCAACTACCGCAGTAATTTTGTTTAGTAGATCAATGAAACTAACTTAAACTTAGCTCGGTGTCTTGCGGTCGTCGCGATGGCAACACCGCGTCAACTCCGAAACGCTTGATCTCATTCTTCGTGGCAGAGTCTCCGGGCTCAATGGTGCCCATACGAATTAAGAAGCTCTCTGTGTGCCTACGTGTCATTAAAGTGCGGATGTGTCTTCCAATGCTGTGATTGTTGGGAGCATTTAAAAAAATCTAAGCTTGAATGTAATAGTACACCTTGTAGGAGTAAATTCACACATGAATCAAATCAAGAAAAATATCCCTGGGTGCGCCTTTGTATACGCTTCAAAGTATGTGTGTATTTGAACACGCAAGCGCACACTCATGGTCCCGCCGCCCCCGTACTCGACGCGGCCGCTCAATGGAATCAATCAGGGAACGTTTTTTCCTCTCCCACGCGGCAGGCAAACTGTTTCGCACCGGAATTGCAACAATAATGGCCATTGACGGAACAATTTTCATATACTTACGAGGCAGGAGAACCAATCTAAAAAACTGGGGTAAAAATAAGGGAGATATGTGTGAGTGCTATCGGAGTAACTCCCAGAGACTTTAACGCGCTCTGGATACTACGCAGTCACTGAGAGCAGCGATACTCTGCTGTATATCTTGTCGGACAGGTAGAAAAGTGGAAAGAGTGATAGAAAGAGATTCAGGCGAGAGAGAGAGAGAGAGAGAGAGAGAGAGAGAGAGAGAGAGAGAGAGAGAGAGAGAGAGAGAGAGAGAGAGAGAGAGAGAGAGAGAGAGAGAGAGAAGACAACAAGACAAAATAAACAACAAGATTTAAAACACGCAACGTAACACAAAATCCCATCGACTAAGGAGTAAAATCGTTCCCGCCTTAAAAGAAATGCGCGCGCGCGTGCCGGGCCACGTGACTCGGGCTTGGTGCGGGCGCCCTCACCCCAACTTCTCCTGGCCCAAACAACCCACAAGTAAGTCAAACAAAGTCGGCTTAACTACTCATACAACTTGGGAACACCCGTGCATTTTTTCAATGAAATTTTCGATGAAGTTTGTCCAACTTTCTTACTGGTGTTCTTTTTTCTTCTTCTTCGCCTTTACCTTAATTCACTTCCTTGTTCGTTTTTACGCCATCATTCTTGGTTATATCAAGCCTTTTTTGAAAATCATCCGCGACTTTAAAAGCTACCCTTACGATAGTCAGAACATTACATAAAATGTGTTATCTTGCCAAACTCGAAGACCTTTTCACGTATCATCGATTCGTAAAA